GAAGTGTGTGTGTGTATGTGTATGGAGAGCTTGATGTCTGGCGGGGGGTGTTAAAGCACCCAGGGGCCAGGTGAAACCTTCCTCTGAAAGATTAGAATAAAATATCACATTTCCTTACAGAACAGCCCCCATGGCATTGGAGTAGACCGGATGTAGAGACAAACAGGATTGGAGGCCAGCAAAATCTATGGAGCTGATGATGTGTGTGCGTGCGGGGTGGGAGGGGAAGAGTCCAAATGGAGTGTGAGCGTGTACAGAGTCCAGTTGGGATGTATGTATCCACGTCTACAGCGTCCAAATGGTGTGTGTGTGTGCAGGTTCACCTCCAAAGCTAACCATAACCACAGCCAGGTTGTGAAAGAATTTCAATTCTGTTCAATGAGGTCTTGAAGGGAGAGAACATGACCTTATAAAGCATCCGTGATGAAAAGGAGAAAGTACGCCTCCCCAGTGGGCAAGTGTGAACTAGTAAATGTGAAAAACGTACAATGAGATACACTGATAAAAGTTCCAGCCACCGCCACCAGCACCAGCACTACCACTACCACCCGTAACAATTTACCAGTGTCAGTGCCATGCTTTGGCTTTGAATCTGTGCTTACGGAAAAGGCAGGCCTTGGCTTCCTCCTTCAAAAACCACTTCAAAGAACTGGCCCTTGAGTTCACATCTGCTGTGATGGGCTCATGCCCTCCCAATGCAGGTGCATTACCGTAGCTGTTAATTGCCACAGGAAATGAGAGAGACCTACAAGTAGAATAGAACAGATGCTCCTGGAAGACTGGATCTTGCTATTGATTTAAGGTAGCCTCTCTTCTTTCTAAGTTGTAAAGTAGCCCTGGGGGACACAGGGGGCGGGGGAAGCCTAGGTGCTGGGCTGCTACCCACCAGCTGCTCTAAGAGAGGACGATGAGGCATTGACAGCCTCAGAGATCTATGAGTCTGAACTGACTGTCTGCCAGTGGATCTGGGGTCTGAACTGTAAAGAGAAATGCAGTCGCTCTAGAATTAACTGCCAATGACTTGCCTTAGTTGAGCTGAACGTCAGCACAGCCTTAGTAGTAAAGGTCAGAGCACCTGGGGTTAGTTCTACTAGATAGGGGGGGGGGGGGCATTCAGCCCCCACCATCAACACCAGCAGAAATCACAAGCCTCACCAAAAAGAAGCAGTTTCAGCCGTCATATTCCAACATCGAGCCCATGCCGACCCACAGCGACCCTATAGGACAGGGTAGAACTGCCCCTGTGAGTTTCCCAGACTGTAACTTTTTTCGGGAGTACAAAGTTGTCTTTCTCCCAAGGAGTGGCTGGTGGTTTTGAACCGCTGACCTTGCAGAGATAATATCCGAATGCGTAACACTATGCTACCAGGAGTCCTGTCATCATATTAGAGGTGAATTAATTTAATGTGTGACCCAGCATGGCCAGCAAGCGAAGGATGTTATAAAATCCAAATGGTTCTTGGCAGAAGAAAGTGTCCCCAGCTTTGGTCTAGTGCAGGGGTCCTCAAACTTTTTAAACAGGGGGCCAGTTCACTGTCCCTTAGATCCGTTGGAGGGCCAGCCTATAGTTTAAAAAAAAACAACTATGAACAAATTCCTATGCACATTGCACCTATCTTATTTTGAAGTAAAAAAAACCAAAACGGGGCAAAAACACCGGCAGGCTGGATAAATGTCCTTGGTGGGCCGCATGTGGCCCGAGGGCCATAGTTTGAAGACGCCTGGTCTAGAGTCTAGACAGAGAAAGGACCATCGAGCTGTGTAGATGGGGTTCTCCATCACCTTTATGAGAACCCCCAGCCCTGCCTGAGGCCCTGTGTTCTCATCTGTAAAATGCGATCATCAGAGCCTTCTGGCAGGCTGCAGGGAGGGTCCAGGTAGACTCAGCTCTGGACCGCACTTGGTGTGGCTCCTGAACCTCGAGAGGGGCAGCTGTCATTACAGGAGCACCGGTCGGCACTTACCTAAAGAGACGACTGCAACGCTCTCCGGCAAGAAGTGTAATCTGTATCGGATCAGTAAATGGACCAGGATGATGCAGATCGCTGTGGGAGAGAACAAGATGCCGTCAGAGCGGCCCACCATAGGGAAATTCTAGTTCTGAGAAACTCCTGATTCTTAGAAATGTCCTTCATTTTTTTTGTTTTTGTTTTTTTGGAGGAAGTTTTCAACTGGAAAACACCCAATGATAAGAAGGAAGTCAAGGAAATCAATCACTTTTTACAAAAGTCCAAGCACGATCGGGTATGCTGACCTGAGACCTGCATTCTTTTCACTCCGAAGGAAATGAGAGTATTGGACAAACAGGAAAAGGTCAATGCTTTGGTTTGGTGACAAGAACACTGAAGAAACCTAACACTGGGACCCCTGCTCCCCAACCCCCAACCACTGTGGCTCCCACTGGTTAAGGGCTTGCTGTGAGCCTGGCGCTGAGCTGGGGACTTGTATATCCGGCTTCATGTAACCCCAACACTTTTCTGAGCTTTCACTACCATCGCCTCCTTTGATTACTGCCCTGGATTGAACTGTCTCCCTGCCCACCCCCTTCATAGGAGGCAACTTGGCTGGGTTGATTCTCAATGGTTGGGCAGTTAATGTGGTGATAAAAGTCAACAGTTATGTAACGATAGACACCCCCCTCGCCCCCATTATCTGATCTCATGCAGTCAGCCCACCAACAGTAAGGGGGTTAGCTAATTTCCCCTGGGGTGGTGGTGGCCCCTTTCACTCTCACATTACGAGAGATCAAAGGAGAGTGACTGAGAGGGACCTCAGTACCACCAAAAAGAAGGGCCAGGCGCAGAGTGCGTCCTTTGGACCTGGGGTCCCTGTGCTGAGAACCTCTTAGACTTGGGCCTGGTTGGGGTGGGGTGCATGGAGGTTGTCACCAAGACACCATGGAGCTCTTCAAGGGCTGCTGGGCTCATAGATGCTGAAAAACAAAAACTTTCCACCTAAACTGGAGGGGGAGAGAGGGGGAGATAGAGACAGACACACACACACACACACACACACACACACACTCTCATGTTCAACTCACACAGCTCTTTTTAGCTTTACAGGTTACAAAGCTGAACCCTATATCAACGGGGAGGACTAAATATCAGATCCACCCATGGTGGGCAGTGGTCTTCACACAGTAAGAAGAATGAGATTAAAACGAACACGGAAAGATCATGAAGACATCCTGCGAGGTGAAGAAAAGCCAGTCCTAGTACCCCACAGCCCCCAAACCAAACCCACTACGCCCCACCCCACCCCACCCCATTGCGACCCTTCAGGGCAGCGTGGAACTGCAAGTCTTTACGGAGCAGACCCCTCATCTCTCCTGGGGATTTGAGCTGCCAACACTTACCCCATGGCACCACCAGGGCGCCTTCCTAGCACCCCGGTGACCTTGAAACAAAGTCTGAATGACATGGACCGGGCATGTGTATGTGCATCTGTCTGAGGCACACATGCTGTCAAGTAGACTTGGGGAAAACAAAAACAAGACACAACAGAGCAGGAAGGGATTAACAGGTTCTCTGTGGTAGGCAGGGTGTGTCTGCCAGGGGCTAATGGGCTTCCAATTTGCCAGGCCTGAAGTAGTCATTATAACAACAATCTCAAGATACAGATATGTAAATTTTAATAACTCCATCAAGTTTAATGGCCCATAAAATATACGTGCCAAATGATGCTAATTATCCCCTCTCATGTATGTCAACACTGATTCATGGTTGTTTCTTGGGAAGTCGAAGGTCAGTGAGGGTTACATGGAAGGGAACTGCTGATTCCAAACTCCTGAGGAGCCCAGAATGCCAGCGTGGATTCTAAACCACGTGGGACCGGCTGTCATCATAGACCCAGAAGGGACAGCTTGTCTGACTTAGTTAAGACAGTAAGCCCTCGTGGCAGGTGTGTTCCTGGGAGAGGCGTTCATTCACTACCAGGCAGGGATTCGATGCTAATGCTAAATACCCACAGTCATTTCTTTGAACTCTAGTACATTGATATTCTTTGAACATCTAATCAGGAATAGGTATCACACAAAAAACAGAAAGAAAAAAATGCCTTTTACTTAAAAAAAAAACAAAACACACGCCCCAACTCAAAAATAAATCAATAAAATAAAATAAACCAACATCAAACTCATTGCCATCAAGTGGATGCTGACTCACAGTGACACTATGACAGGGTCCAACTGCCCCTTTGAAATTCCAAGATCGCAACTCTTCCCGGGAGTAGAAAGCTTCATCTTTCTTGCGTGGTAGTTTTGAAATGCTGACTTTGCAGGTAGCAGCCCAACCCTTAACCACTATTGCCAACAGGGGTCCTTACCACCACCACCACCACCCCCGCCCCCCACCCCTGCTCTCCTTAGAACCGTCAGCTACTGGAGACCTGAAAGGCGGCCCTTGGCCAGGCCTGCTGCTCAGAGGCAGAAAGGCGCCCAAGAGGAGGATGAACGGAAGGGGAAGCCCTCCACTGGGGGGTGGGGGTGGGGGAGGCAGTGGGAAGAGTGCTGGCCTGGTGTTGGACTGCAGTCGCTGCTCGGAAACAAAGGGTTGTATCAATGGTGGACCGGGAAACCCACTTGCTCTGTTAACTTTCAGCCAAACCACAACAAAAAGTTCTAAAAAAGGAAGAAAAAGATACGCATCTCCACTGTGTTGATGCATGCTGACCTATGCAGAGAAAGCGGAACTGACAACTCATAAAGTGCCAAGAATCTGATGAGGTGAAAACAGAACAGAATCTGCCTGACGTTAGCATGTCTCTAGAGACTGCAGGGATGTGGGGGCACAAACTTACTGCCACTGGGTTGATTCTGACTCCAGAGCAACCACCGTAGGACAGGGCAGAACTGCCCCTGTGAGTTTCTGAGGCTATCAATGCAAAGCAGAAGAAAGCGTCCTATTTTCTCCATCGGGAGAGGCTGGTGGGTTCGAAGTGCTGACCTTGTAGTTAGCAGCCCAACTCGTAAGCCACTGAGCTACCAGGGCTCCCTAAGGATTAGAGCTCTATTGAATACAGTTCAAGCCCTCTTTGGCCCCAAAGATGTTAGGAACTTGCCTGTGGTTACACAGGTAGACATGCTCACTCACCACCAGGGAAACGCCCCATGGATTGCCGAGGCTCTAACTCTTTATGGGAGTAGAAAACCTCACCTTTCCTCCCTCAGAGTGAACAGCTGGTGCTTTGAACTGCTGACCTTGCAGTTAGCAGCCCAATGTGTAACCCACTAGACCACCAGGTATGTAATTAGGAAGGAGCTCCCAAAAGTTCATGGAAAAACTTCCAGTCTTCAAATGTTGTCTTCCCATGACTTTCTGCAAACCCTCCCAAGTCCTTCGGAGGCTCATGTGAGTGTAAGTGTGCATGTCTCTGTAGGGATATGTGCGTGCATATTAAGATGCAATGCACATATAAATTCATATTTAGACATAAAATAAACCTCAAAGGGGACACAGAGAAACTACCTAGACATAAATATCTCACAGGACTGGTTCACTAGGTTAGAAAGCTTGGCTCATAGTCTCTTGAGGCAATGTGGTCAAGTGGCGTAACACAGTTCATACAGATACTGGCTTGGGGGACCTGCAAAGCCTCGGAACAGCCATCTAAGATACAACTACTGATCTCTACTTGTCTGGGACAAAAGGCAAGAAACCAAAGATTCACAGAAGAAACGAGTCCCTAAACCCACAGTCTACAGCAGGGGTCCTCAAACTACGGCCCGCGGGCCACATGCGGCCCGCTGAGGACATTTATCCAGCCCACTGGGTGTTTTCCCCCTTTTGCTTTTTTACTTCAACATAAGGTATGTGCGGTGTGCATAGGAATTTGTTCAGTTTTTTTTTAAACTACAGTCTGGCCCTCCAATGGGTCTGAGGGACAGTGAACTGGCCCCCTGTTTAAAAAGTTTGACAACCCCTGGTCTACAGGAACCATAGCCTCACCTAACCTGAGACCACAATACCAATAAGGTGCCTGATTACCACTAACGACCACCCTGACACAGCAGGAGGTCCTGGACAGAAGGGGACTAAAATGTAGAACAAAACACAAATTCCTAAAACAAAAAGGCTTAATTGACTGGCCCCACAGAGACTCGAGGAACCCCAGAGATAATCACCCTACGGTCCCCTTTGGACATGGAACTGAAGTCCCTCCCAGTGGTCACCTTCCATCAACAAAGGACATCACCCATGGGTACTGTGAGCCCTTACATCACCAACCACAAAGGGCTCGAGGAGAAAATGTTTTGGAAATGATGATGACAACAAATGTACAAATATGCTTGATACAATTGATGTATGGAATGTTCTAAGAGCCCCCAATAATGATTTTTTTTTTTTAAATCATCAACTACATGAAGTCAAAAGGTCAACATTCACCCACCCACCAACGAAGATGAGACGGTGGGAAGGGCAGGGAAGTCCGACAAATGGAACACAGAAAATGGGGATCATGAGAATACTGACACACGGAAATATGTAACCAGTGTCACGGAACAAGCTGTGTAAGAACTGCTGAATGGGAATCTAATGGGCTATGCAAACTTTCTTGTCAACACAGACGATCTGAAAAAATAGGTATCACCAGAGATCAGGTTCTTGCCAGGATTAAAATGATAACAACATTGTATTGTGGCCTTTGGAGCAAGCTAATCTTAAATGCTCCACACCCTGAAGAGTTACTTTGAAAGCATTAATGCTTTTCATCCTCCTCTGAAAAAAGGGATTACAAAGCCACAATGTGTTCTGGGCCTGTCTTTCACATGTTCCGGTATCTCAAGCTGACAAGGCTTCTCCTGCTTCTTGCTAGTCTGGTAAGATCTCAAAAGGGCGTAAAACAAAACAAATCCATGATTGCCAATCTAATCCCTCAAGAACAGAATTCAAAGACGTTTACACGGTAAAGAATTATCAGGGCGGATGATGTGGGAATTATGCAGTTCTGGTCTGTGCATTTTTTCCTGTAATTATTAAAAGTTTTGGTATTTTTTTGTTCTTTTTTTCCAATCTGCAAAGGACAAGGATGGGCCCAAGGGTCTCAAATAAAATGACATTAAATTAATGCTCTTTGACCATTTGAGTAATGTCTGAACTGTAAGTAATGTGAAAAGCTACACTTTTCCTCAGCCAAGTCTTTGTAGGCACGAGAGGAACAGCCGACACAAGCCCACCATTCCTGCATACTTCTGAGAAGATCTTACCTAACGAGCACACGACTTCAGCGTCAACAAAGAGGGGCAACGTCATGGCAGTGCCAACTTAAGACTTGGGTCAGGATTTCTTCCTGAGTTGGCTGATTCAGTGTCACGGTGCAGGCGCAATTTCAATGGCATTTTCCCACTGAAACAATTGTCTGCTGCCTACTGCATTCACGTTCTCATCACTGGTCTCAAAGACTCAATTAGTCTGTCCACTCAGATCTCAGGCTCCGATCTGCCACCCAACCCATGTGTCAATCGACCTCTCGGGCCTAAGATTCTTATCCATTAAAGGAGGAGACTGCACAAGTTCAGATTTTAAGTTTGAAAGAGTTCGTCGTTTGTTTTTTATCAAATGAGTAAATGACAGATGACACACAACAAAACTTGTGACCATCACTAGTGGTAATGACAGAACGAGAAGAAAACATGGGAGCCTAAGAGAATCTATAGCCAAAAATGCCACTCTGGTTGAACCCTCACCTCCTACCACCCCCATCACTTGTACACACACACACACACACGCACAATTTCTTTAAGCACAGATTGAAATCCACTAAACCAGACGCTCAAAGTTCCCTCCAAGCCAAACATTGTCTAGTTCTTTCCTTCAGAAGGTGTCTAGGATATGACAGCACGGGTACTTCGGGACACAACAGTAAAGTGCTTGGGTGCCAACTGCGAGGTGGGTGGTTTGAACCCACTAGGGGCCGCGTAGAGAAAAGACTTGGCCATTTGCTCCTGCTAAGAGTGCAGCCGTGGAAAGCCCATGGGGGCAGTTCTACTCTGTCATTTAAGGTTGCTCTGAGTTCGAATCAACAGAATGATCTGCGTAAGGGACAAAGGGTGCCCTGCTAGGAAATGATCAGGAAACCCAAGAGAGGCAGACTCCTCAACGTCACCAGTGCTGGGAGCCTCGGCCACACAGGCAGGGGTGAAGAAGTGCATTCACCTAGGACCAGGAGGCTGAAGAAAATGGTCATGCCGCTGGACTGCTCTTCCTGCTGCGCCTGCTCCCCCGTCTGCACCGGGAGGATGGGCTTGGCAGGGGTCGGCAGCACCAGTTTCGTCGTGATGACCAGGGTGGTGTGGAGGGTGGCATTGAGACTCTCGTGAGTTGTGTTGGGGAATCTGTTGGGAATACGTAAAAAAGCAGCAGCGTTAGAATTAGGCTGAGCGCACGCGCACGTGCTTGCGTCACAGCAGGAACTCCTGGCAAAGAACTTTATGGGAGGTCAACAAATCCTGAACCCAACAGGCAGGTCAGAAAGACACGGACATGAGACAATCCTTGCTGACCACAGTATACGAATGGCTACAGTGCTTCCAGATGGCCACCAGTGAGCACCGACCCAAGGGGATCAGGCCTTTGTGAAAACAAAATGCTGCCTCCTCTCTGCCACCTGTGGTGAACCCGAAGGGGTCGATCTGAAGTCTCACCACCTTCCACTCTCCACCATTACTGCCTGCCTCTACTTCTCCAGGTCAGTCTTTGTCCTGGATTATGTTCACCAGTGGAAGAGATCTGGAATATCCTCACCTCACCTGAGTACCTCCTTCAGTGTTCTGAAGCCGCCAGTATCACCTCTCTAGCTCCCAACCACCTAACTCACCCCTCCCCACCACGTATCCACCCAGAGCTCTCGCCTCCCTGTGTGGGGATGGCGAGGCACTGAGGTCATAGGAATTGTCGCTGGGATGATAGTGGCGAGCATGTATTGAATACCTGCTTTGTTCCAGGGATTTGCTAGCTGGTAGCACCCAACCAGTTGTCAAGAATGTCCCACCGCATGGTACGCCCATGTGTGTCAGAGCAGGTCTGTTCCCCTGGATTTTCTTGGGCGTTTTCAGGAAACACACCAACTAGGCCTTTCTTCCAAGGGGACTTCGGGGTTAGGATGAACCTCCAACCTTTCAGGTCATCAGAGAAGATTAACCATCAGGACTTTAACCTTTGCAATTGCAAACCGGCAGGCCCACACCTGGAGGTGGGTACTGGCGATTCCTTTCTCTCAGGCTCAGTGGTTACCTATCCTGGCCTCTGAGTCACAGCAGTCAGAGGCGTTGAGTCCCACTTGGAACTGTGAAATCACCAGGCTAGTCCCCTTCTTTCTGCTGTGTAGGCCTGGGGACCAGTTAGTGTCTCTGACAGTGCAGAGGGCTACTAAATAAACTGTCTACAGGAAATGACTCCCACCTGGGCTGAAGACTGATCGGAAATGCTGTCAGGTGTGTCAAGTATCAATCACAGGGTTTCTCGTTCATTTTCACAAAGACAGACAGAGCACTTATGCAGAGGTATGGAGGGAGATGGATTCACAGTGGTCCTTGCTCAGAAGTACCTGGAAGGGGCAGCCAACACCCTGTCCCCAGACCCACTCTAGCCATTCTCTTTCTATCGGTTCCCCACAAGCATTGAACCTTTTCCAACTTGGGGCTATTTGCTCGTGGTCCCCTTCATCCTTCCCTCTGGTCAGTCAAGTCTCAGCTCACAAGCCCCCCCCTTGCTCAAAGAGCCAGCTTCCCCTCCCCTCCCCACCCCGCACTCCATCCCTGTTCTACTTCCTTTCTGACACGATCTGAAATCATCTGTCTATTTATGGTCTTCTAGTCCCACTACAGCATCAGCTCCCAGGCGCAGCTCCTGGGCTGCCTCCTTCGATGTCAAGCGTCCAGGGAGCGGAGCAGATACCGAACAGGGACCGGATGAACGACTACATCTCAGAAGCGAAAACAGATCTTAGGAAGGAGGGTCCTGGCTAAGCAGGTGCAGTGGGTGGAGGTCTGGGGCGACCTCCAGGAGGAGGCGACGAAGCGCTCTGGGGAAGTGAAGTCCGGGCTGCAGTTTGCGGGAGGCGGCTCCCCGGGCCGGAGCTGGGGCAGCCGGTCTCCAGCCGCAGGGTCCGGGGTCCAGGAGGGTGCAGGGCCCAGACCCGCCCCTCCCCTCCTCCTCGGGGCGCTGGCACGGTCCGGCCTGGTCAACGGGCAACCAGGGCTCCGCCTTCCGGGGCCAGAGGGCGACTTGGGGCAATCACTGTCACCCGCCCTGGTGCCTCCGCCGCCCGAGAAAAGCCCACTCACTCCTCTTCCGCCATCTTCTCCCCCATTCTGCGTTGCCTGCGAGACCACAGAGTTCGGAGCCGCGGGCTAGCAGGGCCCCCTCCCTCCGCTTCCGGCTTCCGCTGCGGGCGCGGGATTCCCGGCCGAGCGGGGCGGAGCCTAGGGCGCGCGGGCGGCCTTTCTGGGCCGCCGTCTCGGTGGCCGGAGGAGGGAGGGGGCGGGGCGCCTCTGCCGGGGGCGCGGCTTCCGGGACGCCTGCTGGGTTGGGGCACGTCACCCCTGGGGCACGTGACCAGGTACCCACGACGGGGACATTTTAGGGGGGACTCTTTTAAGGTCCCTGTGAGTCACCCTGTACGTCACGTGGGCAAGAGCTGTCAGCTTCAGGCCTTGGCAGTGGCGAGGAGGGCACGTCCCCAACCCGAGCCTCAGTTCTCCCCAGCCGGACCAGGAGCAAGCACCTGCGCTTTGCACAATGGCTCCGTTCATATGTTCGCCACCAACAGTGAATCTGGCATTAAAACAGAAGCTGGGGATCGAGGGGTAGGTCTTGCATTAATTTATTCCTTTAGCCAAGAAATATATTTTTAAGCCTCAATTATGTGCGGCGACACCCTTGGTTGTGGAAACTCTTCATTCATTCCAACGTCATGCTTGGACACTGAAAAGTTCGAGAATCGAACATTTTTTTCCGTAAGAAATAATAGAAAACCAAGTAATTACGCATATTTTCCAGGACTTTGGCTGTCCTTGTGGGCCTCCTAGACTGTAAATCCTGATGGGAACAGAAGCCCTCAGGAGGCT